GTTTTCCAATAACTAAGTAAAAATACTCGTTTTTATGCTATAGATATTATTGGGTTTTTCTAATAACTAAAGATACTCGTTTTTAGGTTATAGATATTTTTACTGGGTTTTCCAATAACTAAGTAAAAATACTCGTTTTTATGCTATAGATATTATTGGGTTTTTCTAATAACTAAAGATACTCGTTTTTAGGTTATAGATATTTTTACTGGGTTTTCCAATAACTAAGTAAAAATACTCGTTTTTATGCTATAGATATTATTGGGTTTTTCTAATAACTAAAGATACTCGTTTTTAGGTTATAGATATTTTTACTGGGTTTTCCAATAACTAAGTAAAAATACTCGTTTTTATGCTATAGATATTATTGGGTTTTTCTAATAACTAAAGATACTCGTTTTTAGGTTATAGATATTATTGGGTTTACGAATAACTAAAGATACTCGTTTTTAAGTTATAGATATTTTTGGGGGTTTTCCAATAACTAAAAATACTCGTTTTTAGCTTATATATATTTTTGGGGGGTTTTCCAATAACTAAAGATACTCGTTTTTAGGTTATAGATATTATTGGGTTTACAAATAACTAAAGATACTCGTTTTTAGGTTATAGATTTTTTGGGGTTTTTCCAATAACTAAAAATATTCGTTTTTAGGTCATATATATTTTAATTGGGTATTCCAATACCTAAAGATACTCGTTTTTAGGTTATAGATATTATTGGGTTTTCCAATACCTAAAGACACTCGTTTTTAGGTTATAGATATTTTTATTGGGTTTTCCAATAACTAAAGATGCTCGTTCTTCGGATATGGATATTTTTACTAGGTTTTCCAATAACTAAGAATAGGTTTTTAGGTCACATATATTTTTATTGGGTTTTCCAACACCTAAATATACTCGTTTTTAGGTTATAGATATTTTTGGGGTTTTTCCAATAACTAAAGATACTCGTTTTTAGGTTATAGATATTTTTACTGGGTTTTCCAATAACTAAAGATACCGTTTAGGTTATAGATATTATTGAGTTTTCCAATAACTAAAGATACCGTTTTAGGTTATAGATATTATTGGGTTTTCTAATAACTAAAGATACTTGTTTTTTGGTTATATATAGTATTGGGTTTTTCCAATAACTAAAGATACCGTTTTAGGTTACAGATATTATTGGGTTTTCTAATAACTAAAGATACTTGTTTTTTGGTTATATATAGTATTGGGTTTTCTAATAACTAAAGAGATCGTTTTTAGGTTATAGCTATTTTATTAGCTATCGAACGGTTACAGTTTGCAATTTTCCGTCAATAAAAGCTGAAAAGAAATAGTGCGGAATCAGTGTTTTTTAATTATTCGTTTACGTTTTTTTGTTTACATAAGACAGCAAATTACAGTTTAAGCAAACCTATTTTTTTCTTTGCAGATTTATGTAAATTTGCGTAAGGCCTGTCATGACATTATGGTTAGGGCGCTCGACTCGCCATTTGCGGGTCTTGGGTTCGAGTCACGTCACCGAACATGCTCGTCCTTTCAGACGTGACGTTGAATCCCATTATTCGTAGGTAAAAGAGTAGTCCAAGAGTTGGCGGTGGGTGGTGTTGACTAGCTTGTTTCCCTCAAGTCTATCGCTGCTAAATTAGATATGGTTAGCCAGATAGCCTTGAAATAGCTTTGCGCGAAATTCAATAAAACAAACAAGCAGATATGCACAAATTTGAGAAACAACCAAACCATTTTTCGACAAACTATTGAAATAATTAGGATCTTCCAGTGGGTCAGCGATTATTTTACGGGCTTAAAACTCTCAAATCAGTGGTTAGATTCCCCATCGGTGGACAGAACGCATATATAGTACATTATGTAGCTTTGCGATACAAAAATGCAAGATATTCAGGCGCTATTATATATATATATATCTAAAAGTTTATTATATCTGAGCATAATAATGATACGGGACGTAAAATCTGTTACAGAGGTTTACAACTAATAGGTAATTACCTACAAACCTCTGGGGAAAAAAATACTTGATGTTTACAATTGAAAGATTGGAGAGAGCGGAAAGTTTTTTTTTTTAAATAGTTTCTTCTCCAAATTAAATTTACAGCAAATCAAGTCTTGTAATTCTCTTTGCTGCGAGTCGTTCTGTAAATTGACCAGGCGTAGCCGAGTGATTAGTTTGCTCGGACTGCTGTGAATCTATCAATTCAGGCTCGCAACCCGTTGTCGCAGAAATTTGCTTCGTATTTTGGAGCCGTGAGGGCGCTGTATTAGTGACGGTCAACAGCTCCAACTACCAGTCTCGGGCTACATCTATCTGAAAGAATAATTAGTTTTCAATGAATTTGCCCCCCCCCCCCAGTGGCACAGCGGTATGTCTGCGGACTTACAATGCTAGAATCCGGGTTTCGATACCCGTGGTGGGCAGAGCACAGATAGCCCATTGTGTAGCTCTGTGCTTAATTACAAACAAATAAACAAACGTTGAATTTTTTTTTGCTATTCTATTTTAAACGATCAAAGTGAAATGGAAGTATTGTTCAACAAGATCAGGAAATAAGGCCAAATAATACTAAACAAGTGCAGTAAGTCTTGGATTTAAAACGTTCTGTAGAACCTAAGAATCTTGACATATAAAAATACCAAAGTTTAAACGCGTTTCAATTCTGAAAGAACCGTTATACTTCGTATTTGAAATTACGATTAATGTATATTCACACTACTTTTTACCATATGTGTATTTTATTCAAATTGTAATATTGTTCATACAGGTAATGTGCCTTGTCCAATAATTTATGGGGCTGTAGTGGATTCTGCCTGTTTGTTTTGGGAGGATAACTGTGGTGAGCCTGGAGCCTGTCGTGTCTACGAGCCGGCCAAGTTCCGTATGTATTTCCACGGCATTACGGCCATCATCATGTTTTCGGCCTTCCTAATGGATGCTCTCGTATGGTATAAGTCCAACTCCATTCAATTTCACGTAGATGAGGAAAACGATCAACCAGAGGAAATAGTGCCCGTGAATGTCATATACTGCACTCAGTTTGAGACTAGTGTCTAATAAGGGACGGTTTTGCTCATCAGAGAGAGATCCAGAAACAAGCTTTTTTATCCTACATTTAATTTTATCTTATATGAAAACCTTGACCAGTGGTATAGCTTAGACTGTTTGTTGTGATTAAAGGAGAGCTTTCCACAGTTTTTTTTTTTTAATCCAATTGCTGACCTCGTCGTTATGATGGGGCCACAAAAACGGGTCCCTGACTAGTTTCAGTTTGTAAAAAACCTCATGATCAAAAGCGGAAAGTCTCATCCAGCCTTTGTAAAAGGGGGGAGACTTGGTTGTTTTTTTTGGGGGGGGGGAGTGAGCTGGGAACAAACATTCTTGATCAAGCACATCATCTTACAGGAAGTTTATAGTTGTTGCATGGAAAGCGACTCTAAAAAGAAAGAGCTTAAGTACCCAGAAGTCAAGATTGGAACGCTGGGTTTGAAATGTTAGCCGAACATTTACTTTACTGGAATTCTCCGGCTTTAAAATATTAGAATAATACAAATGATTCGGAGAGCAAAGAAGAGACGATTCTCTATTTTGATAAAGGATGAGAGATGATTAAAAAAAAACACGAAAACGAAGGTTCAAACTAATTGATGTTTCGTGAAAAATAACGTAATTTCCATTTCTATTGTATAACTGTTTAATTCTCGTGAACTTTTATATCGTACATTCTGTTCGTTTCTTGTTAATGTCTTAGCTTCACTTGTTGGTGCTAATTTCACCCACGTGAGTATTTCAAATTAAATGCGCTAATCTACAACAAGGAAAATACAGTGTCGAGTGGTGTATTTGTATTTGGGTCTGACTTGTACATTAGAAAGGGCTCCATGTTCTATTGAGAAAATATTAAAAAAAAAACAAACTATTTACTGATTAATCACATAATTACAGTGACAAATCAAAACCCCAAAGCGGGGCGATCATGAACAAGCCCTTAGTGAGCATGCGCATTAATAATGATAATCAAGATGAAAAAAAAAACCGACATTATTAGCAGTATTGTTCTGTCACGATAACGTCAGATTATCAGAAGATAGATTAAATTTGGTGATCATTTTAGATAAAACTAAAACCCGCTTGAGATTTTTAATGAAGTGTTAAAACTGCTTTCGGCTTCGAAGGTGCGATTTTTCAGGTGTTTATAATCTCGAAAAAAAGAAGAAGATAGAAATAAAATTATTGCTCACTAGTTACCTCTGGTGGAAGTTTTTCTGTAATTTAAAATGTCTACTTTTTTACGAGATTGCTTGGGTAAAATTTATTTATATAAAAAAAAACAATATTTCTGTTATTTATTGGAACTTGCAAAACAATATTTTTTATGTACACGCGCGCATCGAATCATCATTAGTTATTGATGTTCTCTTACATATAAAATAAAAAAGGTAATGCAAGGTTAAGAGAGGTTGAACTTTTGGAAACAACTTAAAAATGTAATGGACTAAACATTTTCATAGAAAAAGTGTTTCAAGATGTAAGTAGACTGGGTCATTTTTGTGTGACACGATTAAATTATTGCTTTATCAAGCTAAAGGAACTAGTACGTCTCGGATGCTCTGGTATGTTGCTGTTACTCGGATAGTTAGCTGTTCTTTGGACTATTAGCTAGTGCTCAGGTAATGCTGCTGTTGCTCGAATGATTAGCAGTTATTATTGTAATATCACCATCGTTCGGATAGTTAACTGTTACTCTGGTATTGCCGCCATCTTTCGGGCAGTTAACTGTTGCTCGGGTAATGTCGCCATTGTTCGGATAGTTAACTGTTACTCGGGTATTGCCGCCATCTTTCGGGCAGTTAACTGTTGCTCGGGTAATGTCACCATCTTTCGGGTAGTTAACTGTTACTCGGGTATTGCCGCCATCTTTCGGGCAGTTAACTGTTGCTCGGGTAATGTCGCCATTATTCGGATAGTTAACTATTGCTTGGGTAATGTCGCTATGATTAGTGTAATTAGCTACTGCTCCGATAATTAGTGATTTTCTCGAGTAGGTAGATGCTATTTAGGTAGTTGCTCGAATAATCTCCTGTTATTAGTATATTGCTGCTAATATAACTTCCCTGGTATACTTCGCTGTAGTCTGGGTAGTGTTATTCAAATATTGTTAGTTATGGCTTTGGAAGTGTTGCAGATTTTCGGGTAACCAGCTGTAAACTAGTAAGACAAACACAGGAACATCTTCACACAACATGTAGAACGGAAGAAGTCTATATATTTGTTTTTTAATCTCTTAGCTGTATTATAATATAATATTTTAAAGGTAATGCTAGTTTCGAGAACAACAATTTGACGAACGAAAAAGTAAAGTAATTTTACAGGCATCTTTTTTACTTTTCTAAGTGAAAGTTTTTTAAATTTTGCTTAATCACAATATTAAATCCAGTTTTATCATAGTGGTTTTGGAGTCAAAAACCGGAATCTGTGAGAAAACACTATTATCAGTTTGGATGAAAATAACTCCAGTTTTATAGTGTCTGATAAGCTAGCATTTATTTGTGTGTTTTTCTCTACACAGTACATTTTATGTTCTTAATGCTCGAAAACGTTTCTAATGAAGGTATCGTTATTGAAAAAGCTCAGTTCAGTATGATTTTGGAAAAGTACGATTTGCAGGGAGAAATTATATATGTGTTGAAAAATATACACAATTTACTCAACTATTATGAAGAGTAACGTAGAAGTTCGCTTAAATACTGTGTCATTTTTGTTGCCAAAGTCATGTTACGTCCTCTCACCAGTTCCATGGAGTGTCACAACAGATGTAGAGATTTATGTGTACATTTAAAGATATAGTTTGTCATTATATAATACAGAGTTCCACTGCAGAAAGAATGTATACATTTATATAATAGTAGTTATATATCTATTAGAAAAAACAAAATAAAATAAATGCCGGATAATGTTTGTTATTTGTCATGAGTAATCGATACTCTTCCCAGTAGTGTATATAGTTTGATCAACAAAATATATAATGAAATATAATGTAGTTTTTAAGGAAGAACAGAGAAGCCCTTGTACATATTGTAATGTTATTTTGAAATAAAGCAGATACATGGAGATTTTAATTTTGGAATGTACATGTACAAATGACTATGAACTGTGCCTATTATGTTTGTCTTGAGGAAAGCTGTAATTCCAGAAACACTGAAGTTTTCTGTTTTGTAAGAGTTAAAGGTTATAAAAGGAATAAAGCGTTTCAAAGAGGAATGCCTGTCTCAGTTTGAAGTTAATTCGTGTAGAAATTTATACTCATCTTTCATCAGTAAATCATATCCCGATATTTCAATAGCTCTGTTTTGTTACAGAGAGAGAACTCTCTTGTTATGAAAATTAGACTTAGATTGTTATATCTAGTTTGACGTGATGTTATTAACAAATAATACGCGAATTATTTCAGAAATGTATTCACTAATAGGCTTAGTACCATCATTTTTAATAGGACTGGCCCTTTGTTGCTCGTCAAGTTATAATATCTATACAAATTTTCTACGATATAAAAGGAGATACGAACATAAATAATAACGGAATTGATTTTTAAATCTCTTTGCGTAATGGATATTTATTAAAAAGATAATTTAAATTCAAAAATCGTCTTCAGATGTGAAACTCGATTATCTCTTGTTTTATTTTTTGAATGATGTTAATCTCAGGTTTCATATTAACTGTTTTTTTTTTAGTTTCTTATTTAGATTAAACTTCTCAGATTTCCTTTGAAAAATATTCTACATTGAATTTAAAACATTGAATTTGTATATCCAAATGATGGAACTTTATGACAACCTGTTGTGAGTAATCGAGAAATACAGTGCATTTTGCACAAAATGTAAAATAAAATGAAATATATGAATACTAGATATATTAACTATGTCAAAGAATACCTTTTGTGTTGAAAATGTTTTTAATCATCCGTCCATGCAGATATTATCGCCCCCTGGTGGCTCAGTGGTAAGTCTGAGGGCTTATAACATTAAAACTTGAATTTCGATACCCTCCATTGGGCAGGGTACTATTAGCCCATTGTGTAGTTTTGCGCTTAACAACATACAAATAAACAGGCCTCTACGAAACTATAATAAAATCTGCATTTACAACTGCAAATAATGTCACAGCTCACACCAAAAATGAGCCAATACGAATGCGTGTGAGCTATGATGTTAAAATGATACGCAAGATAGAGACCAGAAACGTGAAGTATGTATCACTAAAGCCCCAGTTTTTGTTTGTTGTATTGAGGGGCTGTTAGGGTACATGCAATAAGCCAATTACAGGACCAATGGTGTGGAAAACTGGAAGAAGAGGGTGAAATTAAATGTAAGGAATAAAGAAAAAAAGGATTAAGTTTAAGATAAAAACCATATTATCTTTGTACCTACTGTGGTTTTTCTTTAGATGTCTATAAAGTAAGAAAATTAAGCTTCAACTTAGTTTTACCAAGAAACTCTTAAACTTACTTAAATGAAGCCCCTCCCCCCAGTGGCACAGCGGTATGTCTGCGGACTTACAACGCTAGAAACCGGGTTTCGATACCCGTGGTGGGCAGAGCACAAATAGCACAAAGTTATGCAGAAAGCTACACAGTGGGTACAGATAGCCCATTGTGTAGCTTTGTGCATAACTTTGTGCTATTTGTGCTCTGCCCACCACGGGTATCGAAACCC